GAAGTATAGCTCAGCTTCTCCTGTAAGGTGGGAACAATGGGAAGAAGGAAAGAAGTTGTTTCCAAAAGCAGTTGAGGCTCCTTCTCTCCACACTCCTTCTCCTCCCTAATACGGTTTTGCTTGCACATAGTCTGTATTCTGTGATTTCAGAAGACACAGTCATGAAGCATTTTGCCATAAAGAATATGTTTTCAGAGGGCTTCAGGGATTCCTGCCATTTGTCCAGGCTGGTGTGGGAAGTTCTTCAATAAATAAGTAGAACAGTAAAGTTACTATTCAGAAAAGGTTCCTAAGGCAACTCCCCGTAGTCAGCTCCTAATTTCCAAATAAGCCACTCTTTGTGCATGAGTTCATACATAGCCATGTGTGCTGCTGCAGCTGAACAGTGATGACATTATATCTCATGGCCACGCTGGTGATGCCTTGTGTGGGAGTTACTCATGTGGAACAGTGGTTTATGTAATCTCCCCATCCCTGCCTGCGGGCTGGGAAAGGAAGAAGGCTGGAAGAAAGGGAAGAGATTTATGAATGCTGTGATGTGTCCATGTTTTTGCTGTCACTTTAAGTGACTGGATTTTCTTAATGTGGAACTGGCATTAATAGCTGAACAAGCAGCAGCAAATAGTGCAAGAGGCTCTTACTTATGTTAATTTGTGCTGTAAAATCTTCTTCTCTTCTTATTGCTCTGATAAGATGTCAAATTTGTGTTTCAATAGTTGACCAATGTAATAGTCCATGAAGTTGTTAGAATTGTCTGTCTTGGGTTTTGTTTTGTGTAATTTCACTAACTTTCTAACAGATCTGGATGATGTCTCTGGAAAGGCCATTATGTCTCTGTTCAATGACTTATTCTTTTCATCTGACTACAGTATCCTCACAGATACTTACTTATCTTCAGTTATTACAGCTGTTTTTACATGCTCTAGTTGTGACTGTGCCAGATTTGAGCTTGGAGATCTACCTGCAACATAGCCCTAACTTTCTCAACTTTCATCATCAATTCTTCTTTCTATTTTTGCGGGTCCACTGTCAGCTGGATGAGTAGCTTCGTCATTTTTTCTAAACTGGATTTTCTTTTTTAAGCCTTCTCACTGCCTATTTCTCCTTTTGTGTGCTTTATAAATTGCATGTCCGGGTAAACTCCTGAAATGTAATCAGAAGTCTATCAGAGGAACATGATGGACACGGGTCTTCTGCCTCATTACTGTCTCAGAGAAAATTTAATCTCAGTAAGAATTTCTTTAGAGCCTTTCCCTTTTGAGTTTTCCTGAAAACAAAAAAATACTCATGAGAAGTTTTCTTTTACTTAAAATCCTGAAGCACTCGTGCATGAACTTCTCTCTGGTGACAAAGGTGATCTGTTTAAACAACTGACTGATCTGTTTCTTTTCTTGCCTTCCTTTTCAGAATTTCAGGTTACTGATAGAAATTCCAGTAATCTCAAAAACTCCTTATCTTCCTGAATAATTTCCATCTGTTACTGTCTCCCTTATTTTTATTCTGCATACAGTGTCTTCTATTTGGGTTTGGGGTTTTTTTGGCAATGGTGTTTTCTCTATGCTGAGATCTTCTTTCAAGTAACACAAAGAGAGATACTTCAGCATTTTGTAACATTCAGAGTAACAAACATTCATTCTCAATCATAGGCTGTCGTCTTTGGATGAAATCATTCCTAGCAATTGCAGTCAAATTTGATAACATGAACATGGACTTGGGGGTACTGGTGGACGAAAAACGGAACATGAGCTGGCCGTGTGCGCTGGCAGCCCAGAAAGCCAACCATATCCTGGGCTGTATCCAGAGAAGTGTGGCCAGCAGGTCAAGGGAGGGGATTCTGCCCCTGTACTCTGCTCTGGTGAGACCCCACCTGGAGTACTGCGTCCAGCTGTGGAGCCCTCAACATCAGAAGGATATTGACCACTTGGAGCGAGTCCAGAGGAGGCCACGAAGATGATCAGAGGGCTGGAGCACCTCTCCTATGGGGACAGACTGAGAGAGTTGGGCTTGTTCAGCCTGGAGAAGCGAAGGCTCCGGGGAGACCTCATTGCAGCCTTCCAGTACCTGAAGGGGGCCTACAAGGGTACTGGGACAGGACTTTTTACAAGGGCCTGTAGTGATAGGACAAGGGGTAATGGGTAGAAATTGAAATCAGGGAGGTTTAGATTAGATATCAGGAAGGAATTCTTCACAGAGAGGGTGGTGAGGCACTGGAACAGGTTGCCCAGAGATGTTGTGGATGCCCCATCCCTGGATGTCTTCAAGGCCAGGCTGGATGTGGCTTTGAGCAACCTGGTCTAGTGGAAGGTGTCCCTGCCCATGGCAGGGGGGTTGGAACTAGATGATCTTTAAGGTCCTTTCCAACCCAAAACATTCTATGATTCTATGTGCACAAGTGAAGTCTTCTTCATTACCAAAAGCATTTTTAAGGACGTGACTTACTGCCTATGAATTATAATGGACAAATGCTCTGTTCAACAAAAAAATAAATAGATTTCAAAATGAATAAGGGAATAGGCTATGGTTGGTGAGCAAAGCTGAAATAGCCAAAACTTTTGAGTTATGTTTCAGACTATGATTTTCTGGGTGTCATTTGGGAACTACTTACTTTATCTGTTAATAGGTGTAGAATGAAAATTTTTCCTGAAGTAGTTATATTTAAAATCCCCTTCCCCCTCCCCCCCCCTTTTTTTTTTATGCAATAAAATGGACAGATACAAGCAGTACTCTACAGATGTAAATTTATCCCAGATTTGTCGAGAAAGTATCTCTCAGGGTGGTTTTAGGTTTTCAAAGGTCTGTGTATTAAAAGGTGAGTAACATTATGCAGCTGAATTTTCTGAGTTTTCAGCAGAGAGTTTGATTTAGCTTTTTTGTTTATTAGGTTGAGCAATTGTTCTTATTTTTTCCTCATAGCTCTTCCTGTCAGTTTTCTAGCTTGGTGAGCTAAAAGCAATTACTTCGCAAATCAAATGTCTTTAATGATAATTTAATCCATCCTTCCTTTACCAGTCACTAGTATTTTTAGGTCAGTGGCACCCTGACAGTGCTGAATTCAAGTTACACATCAGATAGGAGTTTCTAGGACTTCTGATATAAGACTGGCTATAAGCCATTTCCTGGGGCATAACATGTTAATGGCCTTAGCAAGTAGATTATGTGACTAAAACTTTTATGAAATTGCATGGAAATGCCAAACAGCTCTACATTCTTTGTTCTGGCTAATCTCTTTACGTTTTTCTAAGATGCCAGTCATTGTGCTATCTAATGTATCACTCAGAAAGAAAAGACAGTACTTTCAAAATGAACTTCCAGTCTCACTGTGCCAATTGATTCTTCTTCTGTTACGGACAAATGCTTAGGCCTGTTTCAAGGGGATTACTGGATGGTTTTTGCACAATAGCAAGTTAATGGACCATACAGCTGCTTTTACTTGTGGGTGAAATAAGTAGGTTTTCAGGAATATAAATGCAAGAATCTACACCCCAGCTGTCTGCTGCAGACATCTTTGGACTTGGGCTTACCTTTACCATAATGTCTGTCACCATACAATAAATCCTGGGATGAATGGAAGAAATGGCAGTGGATTTCCCTGGAATTTTTCCTAGGATTTTTTTTCTTTTCTTCATCAGATGTCTCAGAATTATTGCTTTTTTAAAGAAAGAGCTGCCCAGCCTCACTTAGGGTAGGCTGGCTGCTTCATGCTTCCTGGTGAACACTATGAAGTTAGAATTTGACTAACTGCATCAAGATCACCTAAGAAAAGCCAGTGAGATCTCAACTGAGTGACAAAGTTAAGAATAAGAAACAGCTGAGAGAAGATCTTCAGGGACTGTAGCACAGGAACCAGAATTATTCATGTGAAATTTATGTCTGAGATGCAGCTCAGTTATCAGGTTCAGTTGAATATTTCATGGGTTTGTCCTGATGTGTTTTATAGACTTACATTATATGAAGCATTTCATCCAAGATTCAATGATTTTGTCAATGCCCACAACACTTCCAATATTGATGAGAGCATTGTACCAGCATGTGTCTTTCTGTTAAAGTCTCAATTAAAAAATTCAGCCCCACCTTTTAATAACACAATTGAATTAATACAAATAACTTGTACAAATGCCTATATTAAACTCGCCACGGTTTTGGCAGTTGAATAAGAATTGCAGGCAGATGTGATGACGGAAGAATATTTGAGAGCATAAGATTGTCTTGCGGGGAAATACACCACAATAAAAGCCATGGGATCTGAAAAATTAAATCATGTTTTCTTGCAGGATTAAGAGTATTTTGTATGGGATAGAAGTAAGTTCGACACAGCTTTTGGTCAGACAGGATGAATAAGTGCTGCTAACATATAGTTATTGATGAGTAATTCTAGTGTTTACAGCAAGTACTATGTCTTCCATTGAAACTGAAATTAAGAACAAATATATCTAACATATCTAGTGCTCCTTACCGGATAGTACCCTGACTGTGATTGTTAGCATTTCCTTATGGAAAGCACAAGAACTTTATATGCATAAAAATGATCCTAGAAGTGTGTCCTGATCCTGATTTACTCCTACAACCGTTCTCAGTCAAAGATTTCAGGAATTCCTTTATCCAGAACCCTCTGAAATTTTTCTGTGTACTGTTGCACACTATTTGATAGTCCAGTTCAAATATAAGCTTCTAAAATATTGGCGTTTATTTGTACGTGACTGAAAAGTATGACACAGTGGAGTCATCTTACCATTAAGGAGTAGAAACAATTCTCAGGAGTTCTGGTTCTGCTGTGGACCTGTCAGCTCAAGATTACAAAACTCAGCCTTTCTGTGCCTTTTATCCTTAGTAAAGTGGGGATGAAGATATGTTTGATATTTGTCTTCCTTATTTTGAGATGTACCACACTTAGCAATGTAATTTTCATTGGAGGCTGTACTATTACTGACATAGAAACAAAAAGTAGTTGAAAAGGCAATCATAATACAGTACTAGATTTTCTCCCTTCTCTCTCCCTCTAGATTTTTAGAGTGTGGGACATACAAACGCTTTCACTGCTGCAGGTCTTCCATGATAATCAAGGGAGTCCTGAAAAGATGGAGACCTTTGCCATGGTATTTGACAATGAACGTGGTAGGCTTATCACCGGTACGTTACTGCTGTTGATGTGTGAGAGCATGCCCTTTCTCCTAGAATGTGATTTCTGTTATGATCACATACAACCAAAGTTGAGAATGGATTAAGGTATATGAGAAGTACAGAATACTGGGAGGTAAGAGCATTTGCGCATTAGGACCATTTTAAAGTGGGTCTTATTATATATGGTGCTAATTTCAATATAGAAATATGCATGAAAATATGCAGCATGGGAATTAACAGCAGGAACGAGGGGATATGAAAAAAGCTTCTCTGCAGGCAAGGTGAGCCTTCCTTAGGAAAATGAAACTACTGATACTGTTCTGTAGCCTTGTCATTTCTTGAAAGCTACTAAGCTGCTGATCTTACACTAACTAGTATTCTAGCACCCTCCTCCCAATTGGAGATGAAAACATCAAAGTATAGTCTCTGTGGAGCCCCACAAGTGTATTCAAGCTCCTTCTTTAACTCAGTAGCTACAGAGCGCCACACAATCTGAGGTGCCAACAGACACACTGTCCAATTGATCAGGAATAAGACATTGTGGGAACATATGCCCAAGGTTTCTGAGCTCTGTTTCCTGACTCTGAGGGACCAGAGCTTCGCAGGTGTCACTAATGATGTTAGCCTTCTGTATCTAAGGCAGACACTCTGGAAACCAGCAGGGTTTGTCTGCCCCAGAGACACAGCCACTGAGAAAAAACAGCTTTGAACCTGTCCTGGGGCTATAGAGGCTATACAGCAGGCAAATAAGGTCGTTGTCTTTGGAGACAGCTTTTTCCATCCTTGGATTAGAAACAAAGCACAAAGCTTGCAAAGCTTCTCAAACCAGAGAAGATGAATGTGAAACATTTTGTCTTCAGTGACCTGGTAGTTTCTGCTGAATCTTTGTGCCAATAAACCTCTTTTAGAAACTGAATTATATACATTGGACTAGAGTCGGCAAATTGTTATATTCATTTAGGCATTTGGTAAGCACTGCAAAGCTTAAGAAACTTCAGCTTCTAGATCTTATTTTAAAAAATCCCATAATAAGATATTTAATCACTAAAGGACACCAGTACAATCCTCATTTCAAATTTAAGTTAGTGATATTTTCAAGGCTAAGTAATGTAGGGATTTTACATGGATAAATCCTTAAGAAAATGAGGTAAGTTTGCCCTTATAAGCAATGATTGTAGTCGTGCCTAAATATCTGTAAAAACCTGGTCCTGGGCTCTGTTAATGATTCCATTCAGAAGAATTAATTCTCATTGCTATGTACCTGGCTTTACAGAGGAGATTTTCAGTTATTAGTTCACTGACACTCATAAATCACAGCTCACCTTCATGCTTCATTTGAATATTGCCACAGCTTTCCTCCTGTGCCTTTTTCCAAGCTGCTGGCCCCTGTGCCTGGACTTACACTAAGCATTAGCAATTTGGTCCCTTGCTGCATATTCACTGTTGACTGCTGCTCCTCTGCTGGTAGAACCGTAGAAACACTGGAACTGCAATAGGAGCCTGCCTGAGTAGTCTGATCTGTGAGCCTGCATTGTAAAAACCTTGTCCTTTGTTTTGTCTTGTCTTTGCCCCTCTGTCTTTACAACCCTTCTGATCCCAGAGCACTGGAAGGTATCTGGAAAACACCATTCAGACCTGCAGTGCTATATAAAAGAAGGTACTGGAAACACATCATCATTGCCAGCAGATAGAATTGCTGTATCTCTAAGAAAGTGGATACCAGAATTTATTTGAGTGATATATCTGCCAATTAGAGTTTTATTTATTTGGGTTTATTCCATTCCATGCCAACGCACTCTGGGACTGGGGGGGTTTATGGTCCTAATGATTTAGAGTCAGGGTACCAATCTCATCAAAGGTGCGCAGGCGGTTATTTAAGGCAGGTAAATACTCAGCCATTGTTTAACTGGTGCTTTGTGGGGAACATGAATGAACGTTTTCTGGTTTAGAGAACAGATATTCTCAATAAACCGATAATATTCCTTATCTTCCTCATAAGAACTTGAGTGCACCCTATGCTTTCATGAAATCTTCTCATATCCAGGGAAAGTAACTGGTACTACACAAAAATATATATATATATCTCCTCACTCCTTTCATCCTGTGCAGGTTCAGCTGCCATTGATATTTACCCCTTAACTCATATGATACAAGACACAAGACAGGTGCCACAGACACATGAGGAAAGTATCAATGTTCTGGTTTACAACAGGGCTTTGCGGCAGGTTCTCACTATCTGCTCTGAGTCAATACTCAAGGTGAGTGTAAGTTGTCACCATTTAAACTGAAGAAGGAAAGTCTCACCTTTTTTTTATTACAAATAAGTTACTGGGCAATTAGATAAGTGATTAGTGTTTATTATTCAAAGTGTTGGTCTTGTGGCTATTGTTGTGCTCAAATTCTCCAGGGAAGTGGTAGCCATGATGAATAAGCTATTCGGGTTCAACAGTATTCCTTTTCTCAGTAACTACTTCCCTGACCTGCATTGCAAGCACCAGGCAGACTGAGCAAGGCTTGGGCAGTAATGGATTTAATTGTACTTTTACTTCCTTTGGATGAACAGTACTCTTCAACTGTTCCTGCAATGGATTCTTGCAAATACAGCAAGAGAGTGAAAGTCCATTGGCCACCTAGTAGCTAGAAAGGAAAATTTTAACTGCCGTGATGTCAAACTGTGCATCCAATCAACAATACATGCAAGCACATGGTTCATCAATGCAGAAGGCATATCTGGAAAGCTTCTCATTAAAGTTTAAGAAGTGCTTGAGTCCCAGTCACCTTAGTAGAATATAAATGTGTACTTTAGAAATTCTATGGATTGCTATAAAACATGAAAAAAGGGACTTCGTAAAAACAGGACTGTAAAAGATGCTGGTCTCAGATAAAAAGATTCCTTCACTAAAACTGAAAATCTTCATTGGCATATACAGTGTGCCTAAACTATAAACCCTTACTTTTTATCCCACTGTTTTACTTCTTATTCTTTTGTCTAATCTGCTTCTATTTGGCTAGCAATTTCCTGACCTTCTGTAGATCCTTTCCTCATTTAAATAATTTCCTAGAATATGTTGTTCTGAGCCTTAAGGATTTCACGTCATACAGTGAGGGAGAAGTGTTGAATATAATAGCCAGTTAACAAGAAAAATAAAGTGATGATGATCATTTTTATCACAGCTCAGCTTGTGTTGAAACATTAATTAAAAGATCAAACTTGCCTATTAACTTTACCATTTGTGTTTGAATCACTAAAAAACAGTTGCCATGCAAGTGTCAGAAAACCCACAGATTAATAAAATGAATTGTTACTGGTGTAATTAACAGTGTGACAGTGATCATCAGAAGTACCCAGGACCTGCAGTTTTCATCAGTTGTTGATGGGGTTAGATGGCAAGATGTGTAGGGAGAGGTAGCATCTCTCAGTGTGCCAGGTGGTGATGCACAGCATTCCTGTGGAGAAAGGCTCATTTGTGTAAAGGTTTTTCCATTTGATACACTCGATAAAGCTGTTACTTCTCACTGTAAGCCCTGCCTTCCTTAGACCACGATGGCTACACCACCATTACAATTACAAGATAGTTTTGGGCATTTGGTGCTGTGGAAATCAGATCCAGACAGTTCATATGACATGAGAGGCTACTGCATAAATCTAGCTGAATCTGAACTATTCCACTACAGTGACCCAGCTTTGTACTGGTACTTCTTCATAAGGCATTGTTTAAACTCCCAAATGATTAGATAATGATCAGATATAATCGTTCCTACGTTTTTGGACCAAATATTTTTGAAAAGCCTCATTTTTATATTCGGCATAGAAATTACAGCCCAAACCTTTCTTTCTAGTTAGATTGCTTTGCTTTTGCACTGTAAAAACTCATTATATATAATAACAAGCTGTATGACTTAAAAAGGGCCTTGCCCATAGCATACTAAATGGAGCCTCCCCTTGCCCAAATGGCTTCTCTGGGGAGAGAGATATTTTCTGGGAAATTACACTGGTATTTCTGTAAAAGAACATGGTAGTGTGCTATTATAACAGAGAAGCTATTTCATGGGATGTGAAATTTGCTCTTGGAAGTATTCATCTTTCTCCAATTACACTAGAACACATTGTCTGATGAGTTTTAGAGGATGTAGTACAAGTAATTTCCATTTTATTTTGCAGGTCTGGGACTTAGAAACAGGATACCAACTATATCAGACTGAAAATGCGCATGGGCTGAATACTGAAGTGACCTGTGCAGCCGTTGAAATAAATGGTTTTTATCTTGCTACTGGGGCATGTGATGGTAAAGCAATTAAACAATTACCACATTTTTATTACATGTATTTAAAATGACATATTGTATGAGCAGACAGAATTCTTTGCCTTGACTGTCTCAGTGATAGAGGAATTAATCTTGTCTTTCTTACAAGGTGGGAGGAAGTATGCCCAGAAGGGAATGCACAGCTTTGGATTTGGGGAAAAGGGTGGGATGGGGTGTATCTTGGTTGGGTTCTATTTGATAGGTGTATCATAGAAAGGTGATTTTTGGCTGCTGGTACTTTGCTAGCCTATTGCTTTCTGGAAGACTATCCTCCAAGCTCTTGCTATGAAAATATGTTTCTTCATAGGACTTAGAACCTAAATCTGTAACTAAATGGATGTAACAGATGGAGAATGGTAGTTTTTTACAAATTTACAGTATCTAAGCTCAATATTACAGTGTCTGCAGGCACTGAACACTAGAATGTTTCATCTACATGTTTCCTAAATTTTTCACATGTGTTCATAGAATCACAGACTGGTTTGGGTTGGAAGGGGCCTTAAAGACCATCTAGTTCCAACCCCCCTGCCATGGGCAGGGACACCTTCCACTAGACCAGGGTGCTCAAAGCCTCATCCAGCCTGGCCTTGAACACTTCCCGGGATGGGGCATCCACAGCTTCTCTGGGGAACCTGTGCCAGTGCCTCACCCCCCTCTCCATGAAGAACTTCTTCCTGATATCCAATCTAACCCTCCCCACTTTCAATTTAAACCCGTTACCCTTTGTCCTGTCACTACAGGCCCTTGTAAAAAGCCCCCTCCCAGATTCCTTGTAGGCCCCTTCAGGTACTGGAAGGTGCTAAAAGGTCTCCCCGGAGCCTTCTCTTCTCCAGGCTGAACAAGCCCAACTCTCTCAGCCTGTCCCCACAGCAGAGATGCTCCAGCCCTCTGACCATCTTTGTGGCCTCCTCTGGACTCACTCGTGTTATTTAGGGTGCATTAGTTTTACATAATGTGACAAGCTCTTTCCAACACACAAGTGTTACACTGAATTCTGCAGCAAACTTTAATAATTTTGTGATCTGTTAACATGACTAAGTAATTCTTCTCACATTCAAATGTTCAAGATTACACACCTGATGTATTAAAATATGTGAAAGCTGCCTCACACGAAGAGGAGATGGCCTTTTCCACACAGCACACTGGCTAATGTTTCTTGTTTAAATTTGGGAGCAGAGACTGCACCCTTTATTAAGAGCATGACAGAAGGTGAATTCTATCAAGTCTTACAAAAGTGGAGTTGTATGCAATAACTGCTTCACTTAAGATAATGCTGCCTCTGATACTAAGATAATCCTTCTCCCCACTGGTTCTGTGGGACACATCGAGCAACCAGGTCCTTACTGTAGCTCAGAAACTGGTCTTCTGCCTGACAGCACACACTCTGCTTGCTCTCTGATGACGTTAGTCCAGAAACAGAAGCAAGATAGGCAGTGGTCTTTTATCCTGGGCTGTAGCATAAAACAGGCATGGAAAATGGTGGGGCCAGTGGTGAAGATGTTTTTCAGTAAGTTTGTGTCCCTAAAGGGTGCTTTCCTAAGAAACACACACACTGCTACAGCTTTTGAAAGGCCGCTGACCTAGCTCTGAACCTTCTATTAGATTTTCTTTTTTTCTACTCTTTTTCCTGTTTGATCCAGTTCAAAGTTCTGAGTTTGAAGCATGGGGGTTTTTAATTGCTGTAAGTTCATTCCCTTTTTGTATATTTTTCTCAATTGTGTGTAGGAACAGTGAAAATTTGGGAGTTTGAAAGTGGGCAGGAAGTTAAAGCCTTGCCTTTGGCCCAACACAGCAAAGATGAGTGTCATCTGCTGAAGATAGTTTATCTGAAGGCTAATGAGAGTCAACATGCACTTCTTGCTTTGGAGCAGAGTGGAAAGATGAAACTAATTCAGGTTTTTCAAATATACTTTTTTTTTTTTCCTAATTTCATCTGGTAGCTCCTAACTTCTGAGGTAAAATAAGACTTTTCCATTAATTAATAGATAAACCTTTAGAATCTGTCAAGGAACAATGCACTTTCTGCATTTCATCAAATTAGCTTTCTGCCTTTCTGTATAACTGTTTCTATGTTCATTAGTTCATTGCTGGTTTTCAGCATTTCGATAATTTCTTTCCTTGCATTTGATTTTCTGATTGTGATTAAGATTTCAGTAGTTATAGATCCTTTAAGGTAAAAGCTTTAAAATATTGCTATTGTTATTATAGAGGTTTTTTAGCCTGTTTAAAGAGTTTCTAGTTCACCAGCAGCTGATACTGGTTAGAACTGTTCCTGCAAATTCTGTTTATGTACTTAGCCCTACTGCACTGGTCAGAGCCCTGCTTTTTAACAACTGAGGCCTGGGGCCATGTTTGCATAAGGCAGCTGTACCTTTTCCTCCTTTAACTCTGACTCCTTTAACTCTAGTGTGCTCCTCGGGCAGTGGAAGACACAGCATCACCTTCTTGGGTTCTGGATGCCTGTCTTGTGTAGAAATGACTGTCCCAGTACAGCCGCTGAGCCCTCAGACTCAGATATTGCTGACCCATCCCAGTCATTTGTAGGCCATAGAGGCTCCATTTAATATTTGCTAATAGGAAGCTCCCACAACTCAGGATTCAGTTTCACGAACCTCAGAGGCCTCAGGCCTATACACTTCTGTCACTTTGAAGCTCTTCACCTGTAGCCCAATACCCCTCTTGGTATATTTTCCCTCTTTGGAGAATAGGTGACCATGGTATTATCCTGAAAAAAACCTTCAGTATTGGAGAAGATTTTGGCTACAAGGTTTTTTGTTGTTTTGGTTTGGGGTATTTTTTTTGGTCTAAAATTACTAGATTCAGACAGTGGCTGCTTAAGAAATGATTCAAAGAAACAAGACAGTAACAAATCAGATTGTCTTACTCGGTAAGAGAGCCTACTCTGTGTTCCCTTCAGCTAAAATTAACAGGATGCATTTGGAGCTTACAATAATTGGGGTTTCATTTCTCAGATAAACCATGTTTCTGTAGAATTTTCTTCCTCAAACTGGAATATTTTATTTGGAACAAAATTCTCTTTCCAAAACTTTAAATCTGCAATGTGCAAGGGAACAAAGGTTGTGGGGAGAAGTTTTACTAGAAAGACCATATATTTAGGGAAAAAAAACATGCAAGCTCTCATTTTGGTAAATAATTTATTACTTTCGAACCTCCTGCTAATAAAAAGTTGATGCGGAGTTTTCTTTTAATATGCAGATTTTTCTGAAGCACTACGTTGCACCAATTGCCCCCCAGTGTTATTACTGAAATTAATCATTTGTGCAATGTTAATGTATCCCTTGGCAAACAGGTTGGTGAGGCGTTGAGTCCCCTCCAACTCTTTCTGAATCTAAGTACATAAATACTGTTTCACACAATGCCATAACTACTTTTTTATATAAATATTTCAGTAATAATGAGAAATGCATATTGTTGTTATTATTATTAGCTTTTTAAGAGGTTCTGGATATAGAACCAGTTTATCACTTGCAGGAATCTACTACAGGTTTCAATTTTTAGTCCTTCCCCCAAGGTATTTCTTGTTAGATACACTTAATACCATAAGATTTACTGAAGTCTTAATCATTGCTTCATTCTGGAGTTCAAGACATCTATGAAAACTGCAGAAAATCTAAGAAACTGATTTCAGTAACACTTCCCAAAATGGACAGAAATATCCAAGTTACAGTGGAAACTAGATACTGAAATAAATTTGTTATAGTCAGAGAAACTATCAAGGTAACTCCCAGCAGCCTCTAGGCACAACAGGGAGGATTCAATGACTCGGGGCGATGGCTGAACTGTGGCTGCTTCTTCTCACATAATTGGAACAACCACGAGTCTTGCTGGTATGGTACATAGGAACTGGAGACTAAATGTTAATAAAATAAGCAGCTATAACTGAACAGACAACTTACTTCAAGGGAGTAGTTAAACCAAATGAAATCAAAAGCTCAGCACTCCACAGTCGGACAGCTTCTAATGTAACCACAGGTAATTCAAAGTGAGCTGGAATATCTGGGTAGCGCTTCAGTTTCCAGGGTAGGCATATGCTAGGTGATACCTGTAATAGTTTTTGTAGTTTAGCACAGGAAACAAGCTTTTGACACACACTTGCTGATAATTTTCTTATGAATAGTGAAATCTTTTTGTTCCTCTTCCATTGTCGGTTATTTTAACAGGGTAACTCATTTCAAACGTATCTATACGTCACATGGGTGCTTCCTGAGGCAGTGTTGTTTCCACGAAGGAATCCAGTTGTGTCTTTATCACTGAAGCCTGACACCTCAAAAACACATGAGTTTTTTCCAGATATTCAGCTTCTGTCTGAGACAAGTTCTCTGAGAAATGATACAGAGGTGAGAAACATTTCAACATTCCCCAGTGTTTACAGAAGATTAGAAAGTAAAACATTTTCTGTGCCCTTGAGGATTTCATGTCTAACAACAGGATAAGAACCAAATAAGTATTCCAAACTTTTCAGTACGTGGAAGGTCTAAAATAAATCATGTAACAAAGTGATTGTTTCTAAAGGCTCGATGTGACTAATAATCCATTGCATGACTGTTGTCATGATAAAGCAGCTGCTCTGAACATCCACTTCACATTCCTGTACAAAATTGGGGTTATCATGCAAAATCTTCTAGAAACGAAATGCCTTTCATTACTGTAGCTAGCCTGACCTTCAGTTATAGTGGCACATAGAGATCAAGCTGGGTGTTAAAGTGATTGCATTTTCTCTTCTTATTGCTTTGGTAAAATAGGATGTCAGGTTTCTGTTTCAATAGTTGCCCAATTTAACTTGAATAAGTTTTGTTTTGTATGATTTCACTAACTGTAACAGATCTGGATAATGTTGATGGAAAGGCCATTAAGTCTCTGTTCAGTGACTTATTCTTTTCACCTGATTAAAGTATCTCCACAGATACCTTCTCCTGATTAATCCTCAGCTCTTACAGCTGTTTTTTTAATTCAATTTTTGTAATTGCAACTGTGCCATAGATAGCACATCAGGTTGGCAGATGGAGGCCCCTGTCCTCTGCAGCAGGGAGTCTGCCAGCTTCCTTCTGGTGCTTCTGTGTAGCTCAAATCAACGGTATTAGAACAGCATTAAATATGCAGTTGTTGTAGACACTGTCAATTTAAGTATCTTGTTAAATCAACAGTTAAAACATTTTACTCGCTAGTGTCCACATTGCTCCTACTCAACTTTTTTTTTTAATGTTTTTTGTAGAATTTTATATCTTCTGTAGAAATGAAGTGTTTTGATGTTTTAAAAGCAGAAGGATACAGTCTGATAGTTACAGGAAGTGCAAATGGTGCAATAATTTTGTGGGATTTTGAATCTGCCTTTGTGAGATGCCTGTAAGTATTGGTTTCATGAAGGCACTATGATCTCTGGTATTTCATACAACCTTTTCAAATGGCATACTGGAAGTTCTAAGATACCCAACTTTAAAGGGTGATGGACTAGCAGGAGTTAAAGAAGCAGTTTATATGGGCCCCCCTCCCTCCCATTTCAAATTACTTTGCTTGCTAGTCCGGACATGGCAGGCAGGAGAAGTGATCAAGAGAGAGAGCCACCTGGGGAAGAGATGATGTAATTAAGAATAGTGTTTTAATGTAACTCAGTAGTGCTACTGAAGGAAACACTCACTATGTACATCACCCTATCATTGACTAGAGGCTACTCCTGAGCTGTAGAAACATCCTTATCTTGGCAGTTTCATGTTTGGCAGGACATCTGGAAATAATGCTACTTCAGATGATAATGGCAGATGTTCTACTTTATCACTGTCATTATCTATACCTAGAAGACTAGAAGTCACATTCAACAAGGAGAAATCTGAAGTGATTTTGGAGGTTGGGGCTAAAAATCTTTCACAGAAAGTGATACAAAGTGAGCATAGGATGGTTCTAGTTATTCTCATGACATTAAGCTGCTACATCAGGAAAGTGAACAATGACCGCATGTCTGGTTAGACTGGAACAGCTCGGCACTATTTCTGTGTTGGTGATGGAATGCATGCCCTGTGAGACCACAGTCAATGTTTAACTATCCTACCCGATAATTTCACAGCACCCTTCATGTGTATAATTGGCATGTTTGTGAGAACATGAGCTGAGTTTTTCTGCACCATGGAAAATAATCAAAACTTAACTGCAGTTCTGGCTCTTCCTTTGCATTTGCCCTCTCATATATGAGGGAGCCAATTCATGTGGATGCATGGAAGACCGGAAAGTCAATGCTTTGTAAGTGGAGTGTTTTACCCAGGGTTCACGTGACTGGTTTGAAAGCCAGGAACAAGGTACTTTTCTGACATTAACTCAGCTAGTCTACTTCAACATAAGTTACTTCAATTTTCTCTTAAATACTAATTCTTAAGGAAATACTTGGCTGATTGAAATGTTCATGATTCCATCACATTCCTGTTTTTTCTGGCACAGGAACATTCTGTACCTACTCTTCACTGACACGAATCCATTATAACTGCTTCTGTAAAAAACCTAAAACTTTTAGGTGACATCCATTCTGGCAAATGAAATGTTTAACTTTTTAGATTACAAATAAAGTCTGCACTTTTTTTCTGGGAACAATGCATAACTCATCTGATGCATCCTGCATAAACATCTTTACTTTCAGGTGTAAAATTAATGAAGATGGCCAGGCTTCAGTTCTTCAGGCATCTGGAGTCAATGCCATTTTGTTCCTTGTACATAGTTCTTTCTCTTCCAGGTAACTGTGTGCATTTTATCTTCCCTCAGGTTAGGCACAGTAATTTGTAATTTTATTGTAGAAAACTGATGCAATGCTTGCCCAAGATAGCTGATTTAAACTCAGATTTTCTTTGTATTTAATCATTTCAAGTTTAAACAATTGATTAGGTTTCCCATCCTTCAACTTTTGTAATGCTTATCCATCCGTATATATGTTCTTTTGTTACCACTCCACTGAGCTACCCTTTTGTCCTTTAAATGACCTCGTAAGTCTCCATTCTGTTGAAGAATTCAACTGAAGTCAGCTTTTGTCAAGTATCAATTTTTCCTGTGTACTGTACCCTCTTTGATTCTTATCTCTGTGAGATAACGCATGTGACAGCAAGCTTTTTCTTTATTTTAAACCTGATACAGTCCTCATGCTATTAGATACTCTCAGCAAACAAAGAGAGAGGCAAGCTCGTTGAATTGTGCAGCCTCAAGTTTCACCTTAAAACAAACTAGAAGCTGGCACCGGTTGGTAGTGTTGGCTAGAGAAAAGAATTTTAGCCAAATATGCCCATTTTGGGAGAAAAGCATTGCACCTGTACATAACTTCAGAAATGCTTGTCTTCCAATGGATATGCAAAGGCAGTGTTAACCAAAAGGATTCAGTATGGTTTAAATACTTACATGGCTCCAAGGTTTCAGGCAATTAGGCATCTTTTTTGCTTTCCTGAATCATAAGGACAGTTTATGGTCTTAAGTTGCTTGAAAGCTTTCAAGTAGCTTATGCATTTACTACACCCCTAAATATACCAGTGCCACTTAATTGAACATGAATTTGGTTTTTGACTTTACAACTTAATGATTAGTTTAAGAAATCCTAGCTAAATTAAAAATGTGATGATTACAGTTTACAAATAGAATTTTTTATGTATCAAGAAAATTCTGATTATGCTTAAGCAGGAGAATCCTTCAATGACTTTGAATCATACAGGCTTAGGATGTTTTGTATGTACTGGGGAGGTACCTGGATGAATTTTACTGTCATCATATACACACATGCAATGTTCAAGAATGCTAGCAAGTCTCTAAAATCAAACACTGAAAAATTATAAAGTCATGGTCACCTGTTCAAATTTAAGTGGGCTACCCCAGCTGCATACTTTCTATATGGGTTTTACATTATCCTGCTTATTCAGGTACTCTGGTCAAAAACAGAGCAGCTGTGACATTGGCTAAGTTATGTGGCAAGAACCTCTCATTAGTACAGTCAGAACTTTTCTTGACTCAGAAACACAAACACTGAAGACCAAATGCAAATTTTTTTCCTGAGTTTCTTCCTCAGAATTCCATTTCTGAGAATTTTCTTAACAGATTGAAAATAAGCTTCTATAATTAATTAAAAATTATTTGCAGAGCAAAGCATTGTGTAAAATGAAAGGGAAGGAGCCATTGGCATTCACTGAATTCTCCCCCTTTGCTTCTTGAGGATGAAGACCAGTGTTAATTTTGATTTACTGTGGATTCAATTTGCCCAAAATCTCTGACAGGAGAGGTTGTCTGTATAATATGCAACTATTGCCTAGTTAACTGGATAAATTTCCAAAACACCAACAACTCTTAGTCTACTCAGTCTAATCAATACAGTACTATTTTATTATCCTTTGCTACGCTGGATGATGTTGATTTCGAGATAGAAAACACTATCTTCAAGAATGTCAGTGATCGCCAATAATTTCTTTCACACAGGAACATTAGTTCCCTGCCCTCTACTGCTGCTACTGTGACGGGTGTTATCAATGCCGTTCCAGAGCACAAGAGCAGTTCTTTGAACCTACATAAGGTGGGTATAGCAGCTACATGGATTCGGTAGCATTCAAAACTAATTTATCTTTTTTTTCTTTTTAAAATCCTGTAGCTTACTAAAATCCCTCTGTGCAAAGTCAATTCTGACTTTCAAATAGGAGTTTAGAAGAAATCAATGGGGAAGGTAAAACAGACAAATCGTTAAGTACTTGAATAAAAGTGGAAGCACATCTACATTGCAGCCACACTTGCTTGGATACATTCTTTCAAACTAGATTTTTTTTTTTTTTTAAATTTACTATCAAGATGCCAGTGTCTCAATTCGTGTATTTTTTCTAAGGATATCATTATGATTTTTGTGACACTTTCTGCACTTTTATGCCAGAATAACAGGCCATATCTGCCGAGCAACAAATAGCAATTAGACAAAAAGAAAATCTTACTCTCTCGTAGATTCTTTGCAGGGTGTTGTTTCAGCAGAGCATGGCACTTTCATAGATTCCCAAGTAGCACAGGCCTAACTGCCATCTGCAAACTAAAGTATACAAAATCTTGTGTTATTTAGTCATTAGAATAACAAAATGGACAGTCATTCACAGCTTTAAAGAAGATCCCCAAAAGCCCAGCACATCAAGCCTTACAGATCAGTAGGTAGGATGAGATTGAAATGGCTTCTCTTCAACAATACCTCAAACACTTGTTGCTGCATAGTTTTTCTTGCTTTATTTGGCTTGGCCAGTACACTGATGAGTCAGCCTTGGGGATCCTCAGAAGCCTATATAATAAGGCACAAATGAAGGACTGTGACAATTCTCATACTGAAGATGCAGGTGTGAGTAAATGTTATCGGTAGTCATGCACTTTGTTCATCTTTGTTCAAGGCAGTAACAAAATTATATGCATGTTCTGAATTAAACCCTCTGAGTGTGAGATCTAGATTACATTTACATGGCTGGAAGTGATTGACTTTGCTTGTCCTAAGAAATTAATGCCATTCAGCCAAATTTACCTTTAGCATGCGCCTAAATTCCTACTAATTTCCTTTGTGATTCTCTTCACTCAGTGCTGTCCACAATTGAATAGAAATTAGGAGAATATTTGAATCTTTCAATTAAAAAAAAAAGTTCCTAAAACTATTTTAACTAAAGAACTGCTCTGTAGTTACACCCAAGTTCCATTTTCTAATTCTGTTGCATTTTATTCCTTGCTTTTAGGAAAATGTAAAAAGTGATGAAATTAACACTCAACCAACAACAGGTATGAAAAGATGTTTTTCATTTTCTGTGTTGTTGATCCAGTTTGAATCTGCGTTCTGCCCACATTACCATAGAAACTGAGTTTGTCAGTTTGTCTGGCAAACTGTGTTTAGATTAATTGGGATACCATTGGTATGAGGATAACACACCTCATTGTCTTCTGCTCCCTCCTGATTTGGATTTATTTCCCAACACAGGAAGCAGGATATGCAAGGGCTTAATTGCTGTTTTCTTCATAATAGACATGATGTTGAAAACCTTGCAGAATTTGGGAAGGTCAACTACACACAATTCTAATCCACACAAATATTCAAGCAATTAATTATTGAAATGGTACAGCAAGAGTCAACTTGAGTCAAGTGGGAGTGGATGGCCTCACAGACAAAATCTGCAAAAGCAGATGATATTTTAGAAGGAAAATTCTTCCCTAAAGTATATATATCCTTAAACCAACAGAAAAAAGAGAGAGCCAAGTGCTTTAAAGGTAAACCTGTGCAAATGGAGTCAGTGTATTTGTACGAAGCATAGATTCTCTATCTATGATTCCTAACTTCTAGATTATTCTGAATCCTTTAGACATCTTCTGCTGAAAGCAGACTTTCCCAGTAACAAGAAATTTGATCATCTGAAGTATGGATTTAAGATGAATTTATTCTGTAAAGAAAACATGCCCTGAATCCAGAATATCCTTAAGTCTTATATCTGCTCAATGAAATAAACACTCATGCTAGGTCCTACATCCACTGAATGTCCATGTCACTGAGGACCTTCATGGGTCCCCACAGCATCTCCAGCTCTGGGGAAGTCACAGCAGGAACTCAAACTCTCCATGACCACCACCTTACATCTAGCAAAAGTTTTAAACTGAAGAATTAAGTCTAGAAATCTATGATTCCAGAACTGTTGTCATTTAGTTATTAAATTTCACTTCATTGCTGAATTTATAGTAATCTCTAGAAGCCTCATGCAGAGGCTGCAGAACTGCCTCTTAGCTGTCCTCATGACCACTGGCTTGCATTCCTCCTCCAGTCTCTCTGGTGCTTGTGTTTTCTGTAAAATCTGTTGCTCTAAATAAGGTTTCCCCACATCATGGAGCAATAGTTCTGGTTTAGAAGATTGTTCTAATTTCTTTTCAGTTGTCTTTCACCCCTATCTGTAATGTTTTCATTACCAATGCCATCTTGATGATGGAGTTTATATTCAAATTTACTTTTCTTCTAGTGTCATGTAATTTACAGATTCACAGATTCACAGAGTGGTAGGGGTTGGAAGGGACCTCTAAAGATCATCTAGTTCAACCCCCTGCCAGAGCAGGATCACCTAGAGTAGATCACACAGGAACAAGTCCAGGCAGCTTTGGAAAGTCCCCAGAGAAGGAGACTCCACCACCTCCCTGGGCACCCTGTTCAGTGCTGTCACCCTCACAGGGAAGAATGTTTCCTCATGTTCAGGCTGAAATTCCATGCATTCAAAAGCAGTAGTAAAAATTGTTGAGAAAATGTTTGATCATTTGTGTTCCACAGCAGAAGACAGAACTAGGTATAAGAATATCCAACACTTGAAGATGAACATACCATTATCCAAAACTGTAGCAGGACACACACCAATACTGGCTTCTGCTCATGAAAATGGCTGTATCTGCCTGTGGAGTATTCAGGTAGCTATCTGAATATCTTTGGGGTTGGACTGGACCATTGAGAAGATAATTCTGCTAATCTTTGGAAACACGCTTTTTAACTAGCAATCTCAGCGGCAGATATTTTATTGCTTTTATTGGTTAATAGTTTCTTCCACAGACACAAACTAGTTCTGTTTTAATAACTATCAGGGAGTAAAAGCAAGTGGAAAATGAAGAAACATTATTTGAAAGAATTAAAACAAAAACCAACTATAAAGTTAAATGAAAGTCTAGAAGTCGACTTTTCACTTACATCTACCTTCTAAGAAAGGACGATAGGCAAGGCAGTGTCGTACTCTCAGAAGAGGAGAAATATGTCTGGACATTGCACAGGCCAGCTAGCTCTAGTAGGGTTACAAATCAGGAGAGAATATTATCCTAATATAGTGTCTACAGCTATGATCAGCTTGTAATGCAGTCGTGCAGCTGAATGCCAATGGCTTAGTTGTCATGTCACCTCAGATCTGTAAGACTGTGTTCCAGAAAACATATTTTAAACAAGAGATACAAAGAAAATAGAGCAAGAAGGGGGAGCACCATGATATGACTGGGTAATACTGGTCATTGTGGCAGACAGTGATCACAGTATGTCAGCCATCTAAGGCCTTAACAGGAATTCCAGCAAAGGCAAGTCATAGCGAGAATTTTTCAGAGAGATGGTGAAGTAGCTTTGCAGATGTTTTATGCAAAATAGAATATTATGGTAAATGTCCCCAAGTACAGTAGGTATGGGGTTTGTTGGGTTTTGTTGTCTTCACAGTTGGTATATTAGTGTGCTTAGATTCCTATAGGGATCTCCAAGTTCAGATGACAGTGATGTCATCGCTGTCGTGACTGTTATCATCATTACATGGATGACATAGTCAAGATCTCCTTATCAGCAGGACATTCTCCCTCACCTCTTCCCAAAACTGAAGAGCCAGTAAGGGAGAAAGTCTACTGGTGCTTACTTGAAAAATATAACAAGTTGGTGAAGGAGACATCATGGGCTAAATTGCAGCAAGAAACAACATTTCAGGAGCAAAGAAGATGCATGTCGATGGTACTCGGCAGCAAATGAGAGGAAAGTGTTGAAGCAGGAGCAGATACACCTTGATGGCATTGCCTGAAGAGTGAAATAGCTTGTTCTTTTGATGTAGAAGAGACAGTAATCCAGAAGAATACATCGAAGCTATCTTGGTTATTCAGTAGATTTTGAAACTACCTTTTTAGCAGCTTTCTGAGTAGATCAAATCCATGGCGCTCTACTTCTGATGCATTGATTATTTTTTTCATGTAGATATTATAAAGAGAAACATGTGCTTATTTATTTTTTATTTTAGGGAAACTTGGTGAAAGAACTTTTGCCATTTTCAAAATATCCTTCAGTTCCTCTGACTGCACTATGTACAGACACCTCCACTAAAATGCTTTTGGCAGGCAGTAAGGGTGAGTAAACATGATAGTCATTCTGCTCAGGACAGTCTGTAGGACCACAGAATATCATGCTGTAGATAGAATCATAGAATCACTAGGTTGGAAAAGACCTTAGAGATCATCCAGTCCAACCGTATCTGTCCACCACTAAACCATATCTCTCAGCACCTCATCCACCCGTCTCTTAAACACATCCAGGGATGGTGACTCCACCACCTCCCTGGGCAGCCTGTGCCAGTGTGTGATAACCCTTTTAGTGAAGAACTTCTTCCTTACATCCAATCTAAACCTCCCCTGGCGCAGCTTGAGTCCATTCCCCCTCGTCCGATCATCTGTCATTAGGGAGAAGAGACCAACACCCACTTCTCCACAACCTCCTTTCAGGTAGTTGTAGGCAGTGATCAGGTCTCCTCTCAGCCTCCTCTTCTCAAGGCTAAACAAGCCCAGTTCCCTCAGTCGCTCCTCATAAGACATATTCTCCAGACCCTTCACCAGTTTTGTGGCCCTTCTCTGGACACGCTCCAGGACCTCAATGTCTTTCTTGTAGTGAGGGGCCCAAAACTGAACACAGTACTCGAGGGGCGGCCTCACCAGTGCCGAGTACAAGGGGAGAATCACATCCCTGGACCTGCTGGCCACGCTAGATGTGCCAGAAATGTTGATAACAAGGTCCAAGTGCTGCCAGACTTTCTCCATCAAAGCTATAATTAAGTAATTGAAAAAAGTATTTCTAGCATGAAAGGATGGTAAATTGAATCTTAGTGTTAATTGCAGTATCAGCAGAATTGTTTTCATAAAAGACATTAAGATTTTCTTCATTCACAAGCCCTGTGTATAATTTCCATCTGAATTACTGTATTAATACCAAGGGCAAATGTTAATGCTAATAACAAACAAAAATTTCACATCTATGGTAAGAAAACCTAAAAAACCTGCAGCTGTAGCTTTCCCAAGAGCCATGGTTTGGACTCTGATACGGAGTGCGCAGTAACGGCTTCAGCAGTATGCTGCTACATAAGGACAGCAAGCACTTGTGGTCTGTGTTAGCAGCTCATTGCTGGACTTTTAATTTCACAACATATCTGGCTTTCATTTGGCAGAAAGTTAAGAGTTTACCTGCTGTCTGATTCTCCTCCAGACCTTTAGAGTCACCCTGGCAATTTTCTTTTCCTGCATCTCTCATATGAGAAATTTGTCCTTTAATGTGTCACTTTTCTTCTAAAATACCTATTGGAACTGTTTCTAACATCTTCCTGCTCTTAAGCTGTCAGAAGTTGGATGGAGCAAATTTTTTTTGCATTTGTTTCAAAACTGGGCAGTAGCTTGATGTTGGTGCTGCAAATGAAGACCAGTTTACACTCCCTGTTGATTCAAATCAGTAAATGAGTTCAGGAAGGCAGCATGCCCTGAACAGGATTTTAATCAGTTGTGGGAAAGTAACCACCCTATTACCTATTCACCCAATACTCTCCCTTATCCTTTTGTGTTTGTGCCACTATGTATTTGCTTTTCATGCATCCTGCACCCTTCTCTTTTAAGTGCAGTGCTACTACTAATTTCTTGTTCCCATTACAGATTTTTCCTTGTTAGGAAAAGGTCAACTTCTCTGCCAGCCTCCTTGCTTGCTTGCAGACATACAGTCCTAGAAACCAGATATGACCAGTATGAATTACACAAAAGATTCCTCTGTCTAGTAAAAGAATCGAGAGATAAGAGGCAACTTCATCAGGAAAGAGGGAGCCTAGGCAGGAAATTGAGCAGTTGTGGGTCATAAGGAAAATAGTTATTTGATTCTAGCTTCACAGGAGTGCACTAAAAGGTTGTAAAACATCACACTTTCATTATATATGCAATTAATCAAACTTTGTCCATTTTACCGGGATTGAAAAACAGTTTAATCCACAGGAAGCTTTCATGCCTAGTTTGTGCAATAGATAACTGTCTTGACAAGAAGCCTCTTATTTTTTACTCATGCCATTTAAAGAAAAAAATTCACAGTCTTTCCATTTCAAACCTATCCAGTTAATGACACATTGCTCACAAAGAGTATATTTCTTTGCATGTTAAGGAATAGTCAATTATTTTCTGCTCTCTGCTTGACAGTGAGATAGTGGCATTCACCTTAAAATAACTTTCACTGACCTGTAATCTCAGCTTCATTCTGCCCATTGTTTACCAAAAGCATATGGTAACGAGTGAATGTGTAGTACTAATGAAATATATTGATGATTTTGCTTTTTTTCTTTCCTAAACAGACGGATATATTATGCACTGGAGCATTGCCTCATTCTTAGAAGATCCACAAAACAATAAAAATGTAAGGAGAAATCTGGCAGATTTTCTTAACTTGAACAGTATACTAAGATAAGACAAACAGGGGGAAAATGGATTCAGAGCTCTACAGGGACTAAAAATGTTTCCTGCACATAAAGACCACATCTTTTTCTTGAAATAATAACTTTCTGTGTAAAACAAGAAAAAACCTAAGTCAAATGCTGTTACCATTATTCCATTGTGTTCAAAGAGGCTACATGAACAATGAATTTATCCACGAGTGATGTTTCTACCATATGCCATCTGCAGGCTGTTTCATGGAGGGACTGCTTTTTCACCTCTTCCAGTTTTCAGAAAGCCATGCTGATAAATCCACTAAGCCAGCAACCATGGTGGCACACAGAACTGCCGGAAATGTCATTATGTTGCTTTTTTCCCTCAGCAAATAGAGGAGGAACTCTGCTGGAGGGCACACCCTACTGAAGTGGTTGACTTATTTCACGAAGAGGAGAAAAATGTGGTAGTAACAGCATCTATTGATGGTTCTGTCAGGTACAAAAATTACTACTACTTATTGCTATGGCAAATCAGTTGGACTGGCTCCAAAGTTCCTCTTCTTGCTGGACTTGTATATAGGCTAGAAATTAAATAAAACAAAACATTTGGTGCATTTTCTGTTCTGCACCTGAAAAAAACGATTTTTATTTAATGTGGCACTTCCAGTTTTCTCAGGAAATCAAACCTTTTGCAGACTGCCATTTTCTTTCAGCAAGGTGACCTCGAATGCACAGGTATCACTTTAGAAACTACCTCCTGTTCTAATCCTATTTTAGCTTTCAATACTTGTTAAATTGACATGGGCCCTAAGCATTGCATCTAACCAATGCATATACAAAGTAAACCACTGCTGTCTGAAGATGCTTTATAGAGAACTGTAATTCCTTCTTGGCTAAGAAGTACATTTGAAGGGTTTCTTTTGGGTTTTTTGGGAGAATCAATGAGGAAATTTTGTATAGATCCTGTTCCAGTTGCAGCATCTTACTGTAAGAGCAATTCAGCATACTGGTGTCTTTACTCCTCAGTTTTGTAATAATAAAGGTGAACTTATTGTTTGTTTTCTGATTTTTAAAACATCCTGCTGAGATTTTTTTTTACTCTAAAGTTACTTCCATTATAAACAGTGAACTTTAATCTCACTGTGTTTTTTTTATGACTACCATACTGAACTCTAGAACAGTGCTGCAGAACTTGATAATGTAGACAGATATTTTCTCACTTTTGTTCCACTTCTAAAAGTATCCATTTTTCCTTTCTGTCCTTTGGCACTGCTTCTACTATGTCTGAAGGCTCTGGCATGCTACGAATGGACACTATCTTGGTTACTTTGGACAACCCAGGAAGTTTGAATTATCAGATATCAGTCGGTTGATTTTGCCTTGTGACGTTAATAACTTTCCTACTATAATTAAAGAGGAAAAGAAGAAGTTTGAATATCCTCTCACGCTGGACAGGGACAAGTAAGATCTCATGCATTTACATACATGTATGATTGGGGGAGTAGTTCCTAAAATATACTTTAAAAACATCATTCACCTGAAGGTTAGAAAAAATACTAGCATTTCCTATGAGTTATTTAGAAAATGATCCTTTTTAAAGATATTTTTACATGGCATGGATAAATCTTTTAATTGTTATAGTTAGGTAACAGTCTGGATTAGGTGATGTTCAGGATTTGAATCCAGTAATAGTGATGACTAGATAATTCTCTCAGATTTTAGCCTCATTAGAGTCTGTATGTCATGTGCATTATTCAGATTAGCAGCCTCTTTCCCTTCCAG